GGAGGGGAGGGTCATGTTGGAGGGGGAGGTTGGTGTTGGAGGAGGGAGGTTCATATTGACGGGGGAGAGATTCATGTTGGAGGGGGGAGGTTCATGTTGAAGGAGGGAGAGGTTCATGGGGGGAAGTTCATGATGGAGGACGGGAGGTTCATGTTGGAGGGGGAGGTTCATGATGGAGGAGGGGAGGTTCATTTTGGAGGAGGGAGAGGTTCATGGGGGGAAGTTTATGATGGAGGAGGGGAGGTTCATGTTGGAGAAGGGGAGGTTCATGATGGGGGGGGGGAGGTTCATGTTGGAGAGGGGGAGGTTCATGATGGAGGAGGGGAGGTTCATGGTAGAGGGGGAGGTGTAGAGTGTGGGGGGAGAGGTTCATGTTAGAGGAGGGAGGTTCATGTTGGAGGGGGGAGAGGTTCATGTGGGGAAGTTTATGATGGAGGAGGGGAGGTTCATGTTGAAGGGCGGAGAGGCTCATGATGGAGGAGGGAAGTTTCATGTTGGAGGACGGTAGAGTTAATCTTGGGGTTGGTGGGGTTCAAAAGAGTCTCCAGATTTTGGATTAAGTGGTTTTTAAAATTTAAACTTATGTAGCCAGGAATTAAAGAAATCCCCTAAAATAATGGTTCCGTTTTATTTAAAATGATCGTATTACTATACCTTAGCTACAAAAGTTTGCCGATGGTCGTGATGTAAACGGATTAAAAATGGGGCGAACTTTCGTAAGTTTAACTCGTCTGTTGTGAAAAAATGACCAAAAAACGATCATGCCTTTTTACCTTATAGAGTACCAAGTTTGAGAAAAGATGAATGAGAATACGCAGCTATATTATTTTGATGTTATCATTAGTTTTGGTATTTTTGCACCCCTGGGGGCCCGGTAAATTACGAGCCTAATTACCCTGAATTGTTCGACACTAAGACCTATATTGCCAAGTAACTGTGTAAATAACAAAGAGCGAGAATCTGTAAGATTGGAATATTTATTAAAGTACAAAGTTCTTATTACATCAGTTTGCAACTTCCAAAGCCAACAGATGGCTTAACACTTTCCGAGAAAAGATTGGAATTTGGAGCTCCAACTGCATGAAATATTTTGAATACAGTTTAACCTACATTAAGCGCCACCCTCGGGGTACCGGCAAGTGGCCGCTCAATAGAATTTCGTCATAAAATAGCATAATCGCGTTCGTCTGAACGCGTCCTAATCTGGTGTTACAGTGGCACTAAGGCAGAAATTTTCCAGCTATCACGTACGGGCGACTGCAAATTAGCCGCCCCTATTAATTTCATCAGGGGCACCTCGGCCGGGAAACAGGACTCCTATCGACTCGGTTTCGTTTCCGTAAATGACAAACGCGGATCCGTAATTTATGATTACCCTCAGTCTTTAGCAGAAACAAACACGCGACGGGAGCACCATTACTAGTCCACACCATTACTACACCATTACTAGTCCACAAACTTCTCTTTCGGACTGTATTTTCCTTCATCACATAGCCTGCAGTGCAGCCGTATTTTAGGCGGAGATTTCGTATTTATGTTCGTATTTTTGTAGCCGCTTTCTCTGATTTTATGACTCGGAAAGATTGGGGAGAGTAAAATTAGTGACTACAAAGGAAGCCTTAAAGTCAGATTGTTATCCTCGCTAGTAATACAGTGAAACCTCTATTAAGCAGACACCTTTGGAACCTTCCCAAGTGTCCGCTTAATAGAAATGTGCAAAAATTGCGCAATGTTTGTTAACCATTATCATTTTTGTGAACTTTGATCGCGGATAACAATCATACGGCGGGATATCGGTCTAATCTACAGTTTATTGACAGCTTAATGTGTTGATTTATCTTTATTAATCGACTACAGGACGTTTTTTAAGGACGTAATCTACCTTTAACCATTAGTGAGAAGACACAAATGGAGCATAGATGGCTTTCTATCATAGGCTTTCTACACCTTAAAACAAAAGCAGAGCTAGGCGTCTGCTCCGAGACAAGCAACGAAAGATTTTTTAAATATGATTTTCCTAGATAACCTAGCTACTTATGAGAAATGGTTGATATAACTGTTCAATTTTTCAAACTAACAATAAACCTAAAAAAGTCGCATAAAGTGGCATAACAAGCAAATGCGACATTCTCTAAATGGCATAATTTGGCCAGGAAATATTTTTACGCTAAACGTTTTTTTGACTGACGGTTTTTAAAATTTCTATTTTTTACCCCTAACGATTGAAATTTTATGCTGTGAAGCTAACTGTTAATCCCATTGAAACCCTCTGACACTGTATTTCTTCCGAAGGTTATGTTCAATTTGATCGTTAGTAAATTAAAGGCGTGTATTTGGCAAAGGTATAAATCAGACTTGACTTTCAAGACACAGCCAATTCAAAGGAATTTATGGGTCGTACAGCTTTCTGTACGAAATTAGAACGTCTTTATTCGCAGTCTTGTAGATTCTTCGCAGACTTATTCAAATGTATATGTTAAAGTAGTTTAAATCTTGCGTAATATATTCTGGTAAGTTACGGAAGGCCGTTTGCTGCGACTACAGGTCTTGTCCTAGTCGCGCGGTGTTCCGTAACATTCTCTGTGTAGAATGCACACTAATCAGATGATGGCCTTTTCGCTGTAAACCACCTCCACACCGTGGTGATAGGGGCCGGATTTTACAGTTGGTAGGATCAAGAGTGCGGGAAAATGAGGAAATATATCGTCAAAATTTAAAAACCTCCTCCAACGGCTGTTGACGTACTGATCGTGTTGCGGAGCGTATTTGTTGTCGCCAACTCTTGGGCCTTCACAAGTGTATAAGATGATATTTTTACGTAGAGCGATATTGTAACAAGCAAGCCAAGCACTCACTAAGGACGCTAAGGCAGCAACACGAGAATGTCCTGTAACCCAGATCTGATATGACGGATGTTTTGAAACGAGAGCTTTCACTTTCGGCTCCATGTATCGCCATAAATTCTCAAAGGACGTCTTGAAATACATAGGCCTGAACTTTGCCATTGAGAAAATCTTGCAATGAACTTTGCTGATAGCAGATCACCAATAAGTTGTCGCGTATCTTTTGTTCCCCGAAACGCGACGATCAAAGCTCGCAAAGCCTGAGAAACTGCTGCATAACCAGAACACTTGTTATCGAGGAAGTCACGGTTCTTTGTAACAAATGTCTGAAGTTGAAATTTGGCTGATAGTACGTATTGATCAAGACAATGCTGAGGGTGAGATTGATCATATGCTACCACTGAAAGAATCGCCATATTGTAAGACAGTTCAGGATTATAAGGCATCACGCGCCTTTCATTATCATCGTTCGTAACCATTTCTTCCACAATCGCCTTTGATGAGGATAAGATAAGACAAGATAAAGGCGAAAGCCAGTCCAGTGTGACTATTGACACGAATATTTAAATCATGCCTTTTTGACAACGAATCTTGTTCCCTCTTATGCCGATTTAGTCCTTGCTATGCTCTTAGGCGAGTAACCCTTGGAATGTCTCAATACTTCTGTGCTTTCAAATTTTGATTATGTGCAGTCCTAACTGTCATATTGGGTCATTGAGTCATTGTTTGTTCTTGATGCTTTTCTTTAAAGAAGAAAAAAAGACAAAAAAGGATTACGTTCATATAAAGAGGATAGTGACGATATAACACAGTACCGCAGATCCCCCAAAATAGCCCAATATTCCAACATCAGTTTGTGCAGTCTAAGCTTACATTGTTAAGAAATCGTTTATTCATGATCTTGTTCCATAAGAGGAAAATGAAAATATAAATGAGTAAAACGGGGAGGGAGAAAAATGAACGCTATTTATCAATTTCGCTAAATAAGATAACAGACCTGAACAGGGCCAGTTATGTAATTAGGGGGAAATGGTTTACCGATGATATCACTGTAAAAAAATGGCACAGATTCATAGCAATTAACTTCCTCAATACACTCGATTGATACAAACCATAAACAATAAAAGCAACACGACTTTAAGATTATCATAATTTGTTAGCATTGTAAGTTTAAAGTGGCGCTTGTGCGAATGCATTCCAAGAAGCTTTCTTTGCTCATGTTTACTCAGAAGTCTTTTTAAAGAACGTGAGCATATATTGCCAACATAGCCATTCTTTCATATGGTCATCGAAAAAAACACTCACATAAGCCTTACAGCAGGTTAAAGCTACTCTCGGTATATCCTGATTAAACCACATTGGAAAAAAGGTATTTATAAAGTGCGTGGGCTATTTTGAAGTGGTCCGTCATTCCTTGCATTATATAAAGTTGTCAAGTAACCACCTCTGCGACAGCAACAGAACATTAAACAAAAGTGGAATGGTTAATAATAAAGGCTGGTTTTCACTAGCGACAGAGTGGGATAGGAGTCATAATCAGAAGCGTAGAACTTTTAACGATCTAGGGAAAACAGCATTCTGATTTTGCTTACGACTCCGTCGCTTACGATCAAGTGAAAACTAGGTTGTCGGAGTCGCAAGCAGAAGCAGAAGAACTAAACCAATCACAAAGTTTGGGAACGTGCATTGTGATTGGTTTATCCTACCGCTTCTGATTCCTACTCCGACAATCATACAGTTACTGTGGGTACCAGAGGTTTTCTTCTCGCGTGCGACGAGGAGCTTCGTCCGCCGCAGGCCAACACGTCGTCGGCTTTCGGCCGAAGACACGAGCAGCAAAGCAGCGATAAAAAAAACCCGCTTTCCGCTCGGGTCACTTTTCAAAAATTGACCGAAGCCAGAAACTGTACATGAAAGCCTGCATGAAAAGCCTGATTCCGGAAATCCAAGACTTCCTCTAGCACTGAAGCCTCTGAGTCAGTGCTATTTCCAGTTTCTCTATGTAGACTTCAGGTTACAGGAAGTTAAGCAGTAAAGAGATGTGACCTTTTTTGAGCTTCATCTTCATTAGTCTTCAAAGACTGGCATTAACGACGCTATCGGTTCTTACTCTTTTCCATTCCCGTGTTAAACCCAAACTCGAGGAACAGCAAAGACATGAGACCTCAGGGGTCCGAAAAGAAACAGACGCACGAGGACAGAAAACTAGACAGACTACTTTCCACGTCAAGTTTGCTTTTGTCCATTCTTTGTTGTATCGCAATATTTCACATGGAACTCAGAATACAAGAACATTGTCGATTGATATCACATTCCAGCTCTGGAACATTCCGAGACGAAATAGAAACAGAAATCCTTCGAAAAGTTCAACAGGAGTGTGGAAGTTGGCGAGAAACCAAAGTCAGCCATTTAAAAGGTGATTGGCAGACAACAACGTTCTGTTACTTGTTATGTTCTTTACATTTGTTTGCCACGCGGTAAAGATTCTCTTCAGTAAGTGGGGCTATATCTGCACAGTTTAAGTTCTTTTCTAATTGTATTAGTGATCCTGAAAGGTAGCAGAAATATTTCAGCACTGTTTGTCGCGTTGCAGGCTTGACGGTTTATGATTACAAATTTTTTACTGGCATTGCCACCCAGTAGGCAAAAAGTACATTCAGTCAAGATCTCCAATGTAATGCTTCTAAAAAATCTGTGTTGAAAGTAAGCGAACAAAAAAAACACAATGATAGATGGCACTGTAATCCTCTCCTCTGATAACCAAGCTCGACCAATATATACGTTAGTTGACCTGTAATCCTCCACAATTATTACTCTCGTGACAATTATTAAATACGTTCTCTTATATTGTAGTTGGCCAGCACTATTCGTTTTGCCTCTGATAATCGCGTAGGTACCTGGTTCGTATTTACCCTTAAATAGCTTCAATGTTTAAATAATTTAATTGGCTTTTTAAACTTATTCAAGGCCAGAGAGATGCAGTTTCAAGACAAAGGCGGGCATCAGGGAGCAGCGCACAAAATAATTCGACTCAAGGAGCGGCCGAAGTAAAACTTCTTATTAAAGAAGAACTTCGTCTGCAACAACATCAAATTTGTGCTAAAGATGAAAAGCTCTGCCGCCCTGGACCAAAAGGTAGCAGAGGACGACGGGGAAGATCTGGAACCCAAGGGAGACCAGGTCCCCCAGGGAAACCCGGTCCAAGGGGTCCTCCTGGTAAACATGGACCGGTAGGACCCCAAGGACCAATGGGCATAAAGGAGATCTCGGAGTTTCGGGTGTCCCCGGTCCCACGGGACCTAGAGGCCCGTCAGGTGAGAAACGCGAAAGAGGTGAGCCGGGCCAGTCCATCTCGGCTCCATCTCTGCTGCAGCGTCCTGTTGAAACCACAGTCAATGAAAGTCAGACAGCCATCTTAAAATGCACAACGGACGGTAATCCAACTCCACTTGTCACGTGGTATAAAGTGAATTCATCGCTTCCTGAGGGACGTCACTTGGTAGAGTCCAGTGGTGCTCTGATTTTAAAGAACGTTATACCTGGCGACGAGGGCTTGTACAACTGTCGAGCTAAGAATTTGCTGGGACGCGTCAACCATTCAGCAAAAATGATTGTTCAGTGTGAGCAGCTTAATCTGATTTGTCATTATTATTCGTTTGCGAGCACGTGATAAGGCAGGCAGTTGACGAAGCAAAACCATTTTTTTTTTCGCAGAATTTGCATGAAAAAAGAGTTTAGTTGCCAGCGGAGGAAAACACTTTTGAGTTTCGTTCTTGCCAACCAACATGGTCGCCGTGACGTGAGCTTCAAACCAGCAATTTTATACATCTAGGATTTTCCTTAGGTAGAAATTCTATGAATCTTCAGTAAGTATCGGGCAATTCAAATTTTTTTAAAGGTACAAAAATGTTTCATTTAGCTGCAGCGTTCAACAGCTGAATGTCTAGAATTTGTGCAGTATTTACCAGTGGCCTGAGTTTTAAGTCTGAATGTAGTCTGTCAAAATCCTATTTTAGTTTTATCGTGCAGGAACAGCACCCAGCAATGAGGCATAGCTGTTATGTTTTCTTCAAAATTTTTAAGTACACCACAGCTTTGATTTAAGAATTGATGATTTTTCCTCGAAGAAGCTTTCTTTTCTTTTTTCACGATTACTTTTCGTTTGTCTTTTCGGCTAGGAAACTGCCCACCTACCCCTCCCCTAACCCATCATTTTGCCCAAAGTAAAAATTAATTGTCAATGTTAGCTTAGGGGAGGGGTAGGTAGGCAGTTTCCTCGAAACGTAAATTGATCCGTCTTTTCTTTATTTTTATCCAGTTCATCCTCAATTACGTTTGTCATCTAGCCGACTAATGGCGGAAGAGGGGCAAAATGTGACAATCTTCTCCAATGCTTCTGGTCAACCACAACCCAAGGTCACGTGGTCAAAGGCCGTTGGGAGTTTGACGAAAGAAAGAACCTCCGTGGTAAAAGGAGCTTTGACAATCTGCAAAGTGACGAAGAGCGACGGTGGAACATACGTGTGCAGAGCACAAAATATTGTGGGGTCAGTATCTGTCGCTGCTTAACTAATGATATTCTCCCCTTTGCGCTTTAAAATCCGACCTCCTCAAGGGGTGACTCCTTTGTTTGGTTCAACTCTACGTCTACCGTGTGAAGCAGAGAGTGACCTGAGAACGAGAATTACCTGGACAAGGGATGGCAAGTCTTCACTTCCTGTGAGCTCTTTTGTCCTACAGAAAGGGACACTTGTAATTCAAAACATTGAGAAATCGCACCAAGGATTTTACACCTGTAGAGCGAGTAATGCTGTGAAAACAATAGAAGCTAAAGTCAACATCAATTCCCCAGTTGCAGCTTCATCCTGTTCTGCGATAAGAAAACACGTTAGCAGTTTAAGCGGAAATTATCTCATTGATCCTGATGGCAAGGGAGGCCTGGCTTCATTTTCTGTTTATTGTGACATGAAAGACAAGAATGGAATCGGCGTGACAGTCATCTGTCACGACAGTGAGAGCAGGACATATGTGCCTAGTCAAAACCGTCTTCGTGATATTCACTATACAGGAGCGAGTCTGTCTCAGTTGGCCAGTCTCACCAGTGTCTCCTCACACTGTGAGCAGTTTATTAAGTACGAGTGTCACGACTCGGGTTTATACCTTCACACTCCAACTTCATGGTGGGTGTCACGTGATTCCGCTAGGATGACGTACTGGGGTGGAGCATCACCTGGCAGTGGCAAGTGCGCATGCGGGATGACCAACTCATGCGCAGACTCCAGGTTTGGCTGTAACTGTGATAAGAATGACCATACATGGCATGAAGACAAGACAAGACAACAAGACTGACAAGACAACTCTTCCCGTAATACAGCTCTATTTCGGTGATCTTGGTGGGTCCACCGAAAAAGGCTACCACACATTGGGAAAATTGAAGTGCTATGGCATAGCATGAACATGTTTTATCCTTATTTTTTTCACAAATTGATTTGAATAGGAATTCACTTGACGTCAGGTATCTACGACATATTGGTGCAAAAATATTATTTTAAGAGTTCTCAAATTTGTAACAGTAGTTTGAAATTTCGTTATTACGACTGTACAGGGATAGCTGAAGCTAAATCACAAAGAACTCGTGATTGTAGGACTCCCAAGTAGTCCTTTATCCCATAACTATTCATTGACCCAATAACGGTCTGTAATTAGCGAAATAGGTACGTCAGTTCATCATTTCTAAAATGACGTTTTACTGCCCTGCATCTGCATCGCAGAATTAGTTTTACAATTTAAAACCTCTAGTCGTAGACCACTTAAAGTGTGATCGAGGGGGGGGGGGGGG